TTTTTCCTTGTACTTTTTTCTTCATAGGTATTAGTGGATTTGAGCATTTTTTCTTTTTCCTCTTTTTTTGTTTAATTTTTCTTTCTTTACTCATATTTTTAAATTTTAACACTCTTTTCTTTTTTTCACTTTCTTGCTTAATCTTTTTTTCTTTCTTTCTTTCTTTTTCTTATACCAGGGATCAAACTCACAACCTCACACTTGCCAGGCAGACACTTGTGCTGCTGAGCTAAATCTTCAGCCTGTTCTTGATTATTCTTGTGTGTTTATCTAATTCTATTAATTTCATTTTACTCCTTAATGAGGTCCTTTATCCTATTTTTCTGTCTTCCTTCTCATCTTCCATTGCTTAATTTTTCAAATTATTCATCAGGCTACCTTTAGGCTCTCTTAGCTTTGCTAGCATAACCATTAAGTGTTTTATCTTTAGTTAACCCTATTTTATTACTGTTCAGCTCTTTTTTATTGTTAGAGGAGATGTAGTTGTTCTATTTAGTAGATACATATTACATGTCAATATTTGTTCATACAAAGACAAGATCTTAAAAGCTGTTAGAGAAAAGTAGCAAATCACTTATAAAGGTAAGCCCATTAAAGTTACAGCAGACTTTGTCTTAGTGCACATACAATAATTGTAGATCCTTTTTATGGTTGAGTGGCACACTGTTGATATTTAGGGTATGTAAATATCCAGTTTGTCTTTGACACTATTAATGTCATTGGTTTTGATGCTATTGCCATGAGGTATACTTGTTATTATTAACAAATTTTCTATGTATCCTAATAGCTATATTACCTTTGTGTCATTACAGCATTATGGTCCATCCCTGGAAACTGGGTACTGGGCCAATTATATTGCCTCCTCACCTCCCAAATAAACAGAGGCAGTCAGATTTTGAGACAGATATAAAGGACAATAGATAGTGATACCCAGAGTGCATTACTGAGAAAGAGATTCTTCCTATAGAGATCTATGAACCAGCAATAAATTCTTTCCACTATAAGCAACCACAAACCTCAGCACAAAACAAAGCAAAGCACACCATAGAAACATGAAAAGACAAGATAATAAAATGCCTCCAAAAACTCCCAGCTCCCCCAAAGCCAATCAATGGGGCACTGAGAGGAGGAAATCAAAAGCCATGCAGCTGAATGATTCACAAGAATAGTGAAGGTTATAAAGTCTGGTATGGTGGTACACACTTTTAGTCCCAGCATTTGGGAGGCTGAAGGAAGATCACCATGAGTTCAAGGCTAGATGGTAAATTCAAGGCCAACCTGAACTATATGGTAAGACCCTGTCTTGACAAAAAATATGATAAAGATCAGAAAGGTCCTCAGTGAATTAAAAGAAGATATAATTAAAGACAAAATAGACATAATGAACAAAAAGATCATTGCATTTACAGAAGGTACTAATACAATGAATGACTAGCTTAGCAAAGAAGAGTCTATGAAAAGTTTTTACAGAGTAATCCTGGAGAACAGACATTCTATTGAAGACAGGGACAGAACTAACCACTGCGAGGAAAGCATGTGACAACTAGAAGATAGAGGCCAATGATGGAGAGATACCTTAACAATAACAACAGAACTTAAAAAATGAATCCAATGGCTGCTAGATGATGTAAAGACTAATCTAGGATTAAATAGAATTGATGAAAAATCATGAGATACCACCCTAAATATAGGAAAAAATTAAACATACAGATGAGTGAGGTATGTAGAACACCAAATACCCATTATCTACAAAGAACCTCTCTACTATACACCATTGTTAATGTTCTTGAAGTTCATACAAAGACAAGATCTTAAAAGTTGTTAGAGAAAAGTAGCAAATCACTTATAAAGGTAAGCCCATTAAAGTTACAGCAGACTTCTCAACACAAAACTTAAGTGCAGGGGTGTAAAACTTAAGAGCTTGGGGTGTAATGGTGTAGGTCCTATAAGAAAACAACTTGCAACCTTGACTTTTATATCTGTTTATGTTTCAAAATTGATGAAAATGTAAGACATTTCAATGAAATAGAGTACCAAAAAAATCAATCATGAACATCAAGCCAGCACTCAAAAAAAAAAAAAAAAAAAAAAGAAGTTTGAAGGATATCACAGAAAGAAACAGTGGGTCAGGGATTTAGCTCAGTGGCGTAAGAGCTTGCCTGGCAAGTGCAAGGTCATGAGTTTGATCCCTGGTACCAAAAAATTTAAAAAAAAATAAAAAGACAACGAAGCCAACAATTGCAAGGTCTAATTGTGGATGAATGTATCAGGCTGAAAGTTCAGTTAAATGAAAAAAATCATTAATAAGAAAATAAAGCAATGACAAAAATAAGTCAGTATCATTCAGTAATAAACTCTCAATATAAATATTCTAAGTTCCTCAAAAAATACACACCTGGACAATGTAGCAAGAAACAAAATCCAATGTGTGTTGTATACAATAAAGACATTTAATCTGCAAAGAAATTCACAGTTTAAAGGTCAAAGGATGGAAAACAATACTTCATGTAATGGGAAGAAAAAGCAAGCAGAAGTAGCTGCCTTATTTTCAGACAAAATTGACTTCAACCAAAAGTGATTAGAAGAGGCAGAGCCTACAGTTCTATAGGAAGAGATAACAATAATACATACATATATATATATATATATATATATATACAGTGAATATCAATATAAATTGATAAAATGAGCATCACTGACATAAGAGATCAAATAAACATCAAAGACAATTATAATGTGGGACCTCAACACTCCACTATCACAAATAGATAGGTCAATTAGACAAATTTCAACAAAGAAACCTCAAAGTTGGGCCAAATCTTGGAACAAATGTATTTTATTTATATCTACAGTGCATTTCACCAAACAACAATGGAATATTCATTTTTCTCAGGGGCCCATGGAACCTTCTCCATAATAGATCACACGCTAGGTGTACTTAAATTGCAAAAGAGTCAGAATTATCCCATGGTTAATTACCAGAATTTAGTGTAATTGAACTAGAAGTAGATGGTAAAAAAAACCCACAGAAATTATGCAAATCAATGAACATTTTAAAATATCCTCTTTAATAATCAATAAGTCATAGAAGATATCATGGGAGAAATTATATAGTTTCTAGACTCAAACAAAAATGTCAGTACAACATACAGAACCTATGGGACACAATGAAAGCAGCCCCAAGAAGAAAGCCTACTGCTGGAAAGTTTAGATCAGAAGAACAGAATAAGCCCAAATATGTGATCTAATAATGCATCGCAAAGTCCTAGAAATGTATGAACAACCCTAATCCAAAGCTAGTACAAGGAAGGCAAGTATAAAGGTTACAGTAGGAATTAATGAATTTGAGACCAAAAAATTAATGAAGAATCATTGAATTCAAGATCTGTTTCTTTAAAAGAATAAACAATCTTTACAGCCAATCTTACCAAAAAAGCAAAGAAAAGACCAAAATTAATGCAATTAAAAATAAAAAAGGCAAAACTCAGGTCATCAATTACAACTTTGAGAACTTATATTCTAATAAAGTGGTAAATTTAGGAGAAATGGGTAGATTCCAAGATACATGTGGACCAACCAGAGTGAACCCAGAAGACATAAAGAGGCAAAGACAGTTTTAAAAAAGCATTGAAAATACCAGCTGAGTACCAGGTCCTGGTAAATGCACTCCTGAATTCTTTTTTTAAAAACTTTTAAGAAAAGAAAAAGTTTTTAAATTAAAAAAATGAAAATTTCAAAATAAAATATCAGGAGGGTAACAGTAGTTAAAACATTTTGTATTGTTCTCTTTTTTTGGTACTGGGTGTTCCATTCAAGACCTTGTATTTTCAAAGTAGTTAATCAAAGTACAAGATGTCTTGCTGTGTAATTCAGGCTAACTTTGAACTCATCATGTAGTCCTAGTTGGCCTTGAACTCCCAACAAGCCTCCTGCCTCAGCTTCCCAAGTGCTGGGATCCTTAAACTCTTTAATTAAATGGAAAGGAAAGGAATATTCCCAAAGTCATTCCTGGAAGTGATTTCCTTGATTCTAAAACCAGAAAGAGACCCAATCAAAAAGAACTACAGGCTGATCTTTTTAATAAACACTGACACAAAAATCCTCAACAAGACACTGGCAAACAGGATGCAATGTATCATCAAAAAAGATCAACATTGTGACCAAGTACGTTTCATCCCAGGGATGTGAGAATTATTCCACACATGCAAATTGATAAATATAGTGGCTATTACCAAGGAATCAAATAATAACCATTTCTGGCAAGGCTGCAGGATAAACATTTTTGGTAGAATGTAAACCAGAACAACATTCATATGCATGAACACAAATAGATATATATCTTTTTCTGCCTCTGGGCTGTGCTTCAAACAAAACGTTTTTTTTTTTTTTTTTTTTTTTTCATAGATCTCAAGCTTATCATCAGCTTTATTTTGATTTAAGCATCTCTAACAGGTAATTTTAATGTACACTATTGTAATCAGTCTTAACGTTTTCAAAAAAGAAAACAAATTATCTCTCACTTCTGTTTAGATATGAACCAAATTACAGAGCAATTTGGCAATGATCCTCCCGGCCTCTGTGCCTTCCTTGTTCTGCCTTGAAACATTGCATCTCTCAGTTCTGCTCAAAGAAGGTTAATTAATTCATTCTCCCAAAGTGTTTTAAGGTCTTTTCTAGTGGTACCGTGTGAGTATTACACTTTCTAAAAGACACTTAAAATTTTCCTTTGTTCAAGGACACTGGAGCTTTTCTTTGAAGACAGCAATTAAATAGACTGCTTAGCAAAAGTAGCATGTTAATATGTTAATACATAATCAGTGATAAAATGATCATACACAATATTAACCCATTCAAAACCACAGCATGACACCATTGCTTGGTTCTCTCAATGCTTTAGAATATGTCTATGGATAAAACACATGCATTTCTTTAAAACGTTAAAGGATTATAACTTGATAGTTATAAAAGGTATGATAAATAAAAAAGGAATAGGCTCTTACCTATTAGCAGTGTTGAACACAGGACTATCTGAAGCACTTTATAGCCCATGATCCTGCTTTGGAAAGAAAAGATTTATTTTAACTTAGCCCAGACAAAAAGGATGCATCAGGCATTTTTCAGGAGTATAAAGCATTTGCTATATATCTGGAAGCGTTGTGAGCTAAGACAACTCAGAGAAAGGCTGGTACTTAGGGTGGCTTTTTATATAAATGTCCTGCCTTCTTACCCTTTGGACTTTCTGAACTGACATTTTACAAGCTGCCCTTACATGAGCCATTTATTTATTTACTAATTTTCCTATCAGATATACTAATGTAATATTAAAGCATATGGAAAACCAGATCATTCATATATTCCTAGTGAAAAATTTAAAATATCACAGTAGATTTAGAAGAGTTTGACAGTTTTGTAAACGTCAGAGCATGCAGTTTCTATCCAATTCAGTAATTGTGCTACTGTCTTAGTTACTTTTTACTCATCACTGAGACAAAATACCTGAAGCCCAAAGTTGGGAAAGGAAAGGTTTATTTCTTACAGTTTTTGGAGGATTCAGTCAATACTCAGTTGGCTCCAGGGCAGGCTGGCATGGCAGGGCTGCAGTTCATGGCGGCTGCAAACAGCAAGGCAGAAACGGGCAAAAGAGAAAGACACACCTTCTTCCTGCCATTACATTATATCCTGGCTCCACCCTTATGTGGGTGTAGCACTGACACCATCAATCCAAGCACTACACAATGAACCAATCACAAATGTACAATGCAAATGCATAAGGCCTGGGGGCCACCAACATAAACCATGACAACTACTACTCATTTGTTTTAACAAATGAAAATTTAAATTCACAGGAAAACCTATATATGAACATTGATAACATCTTATTAATAGTGGGAAAATCTGTATATAAACCATACATCATTTAACACTCAATATCAAATTGTGATACATCTGTAAGTATGGATTAATATCAGCAATAAAATAATGACTATTATTTATGTACACAATAATATGGGTGAATTTCAAAGGGCTTCAAAAAGTGAAAAACATCAATCCCAGATAGTTGCATATCTATATGGTTCCATTTATATACCATTCTTGAAAATGACAAAACTACAGAAATGAAGAATAGATTAATGGTTGTTAAACCTTAGGGTTGAGGGGAGAAAGCAGATGTGGGATCCCTGAGATGATGGAACTATTCTATAAGTGGACCTTGGTGGTAGATATATGTGATCTACCAGAGACATAAACATGTGATCAAATTACATAGAACCAAACCCAGGCACAAAAATGAGTACCTCTAGAACTGGGGAGATTCAAGTAAAATTGGTGTTCTAACACAGTTGATATCTTTCTTATGGTATTGTACTATAGTTTTGCAAGATGTTACCATTGGAGGAAACTTGGTAAAGAAAATACAGGATCTCTGTATTATTTCTCACAAGTGTATGCAAATCTACAGATCTCAAATTCTTTAATTAAAAGCAAAGCATATGTAACTGTATTGTAAAATTTGTTTCCAAAAGTACACATAACATATAAAATCAGAACACTGCATTCATTTTCAAACAATTGCTCTTTTAGGGGTGTGGTGAATGGTTTACCGATTAACTTTACCAACTAACATAGTTATTGAAATGACAAATTATACATCTATTATCCAGTCTCATCAAGATTATGTAATCTGACTTCCGGGAGAACATGGCGGACAGATAACAGCAACTACCGGCGGCTCTCTGAAAGACTCGGCTCAGAAGCCAGGAATGGTGCGGACTAAGGAGACATAAGCAGGTGGAGATATGCTCTGCTGACTCAGGAACGAACTGGGCTGAGAGAAGCCAACTTGGAATGCAGTCCTGGTGCTAAAACAGGAACAGAAAAGACTCGGTGTGGAGGCTGGAACCGCGCCATTGTAAGCCGCGATTTGGGTTTCCCGCCGCGCAGCGGCTGGCTGCCTCTACAGCGGCTCGGCAAGGGGAGAGACGCGCAGAAGCTCTGAGAAAGGCAATCTGCGAACGGCAGGGAGGCGTGCACTGACTTATGGTGAGGTGAGTGAGAGAAACTGACACTCTACCACAGTTTGACTCCAGCAGAGAACTTTCTGGGCCCGAGCAGTCCTGCGGGAGCAGGGCGCGGTGGCGACTCCAGCCACACATCCCCCTCTCGGGCTGGATTGGTGAAAAGTGCCTGGCCTGCGTGACGCTGCCGGCGGACCTGGTAGACTGTCCCAACCCAGATCCCAGAGCCTGACGGTGGCCGGGAGGGGAGACGCGTAGGCTGCCTGGTCCGTAACTCCCTGGTGCGCAGCGGTGAGCGGGAACACCTAACTGGCGCAATTCGATCAGGCTGTGGCTGACTGGGAGAGAAGCTGGGCCTCTTATATAAGCTTGCATATATAAGGAACAGAGAAGAAGAGGCAGCATGGGAAGAGGCAGCAACAAGAAAGTCTCCTCGGCCCCCAATTCTGAGAAACAGGCAATAGCAGACACCGCACCAATACACATAAGGCACCATATAGAGAGCCTCATAGACCAATTCAGGAATGAAGTTATCAACGACCTGAAGCTATAAGTATGCAGAATAGTTAGAGAAATGCTAAGCACCACCCAAGAAAAAACAGGTGATGGAATGGAAGAACAGAAAAAAAGGGGAGAATTGTTTGATGGAGAAAACAGAGAAAGCATAGAATACGTGAAGCAGGTTCAAAGGGACTACCAAGATACTAAGAAGTCTATCGAAGACTGGCATAACAGCTTGAAAGAAACTAAGGACAGACTATCTGAACTGGAGGGCAGACTTGTAATATGGGAGAATGAAATGAAAAACTTCTTAAAAATAACAAAGAAACAAACAGCAATAATACAAAGACAAGAAGATGATAAGAGGATCCATAACTTAAGGATTAAGAACATAAAAGAAGAAGTAGGGATGCAAACAAGTGAACTACAAAAGCTACTCACAGAAATAATCCAGGAGAATTTTCCTAATTTAGCAAAAGGTAAAGATACTCAGATGTATGAGGCATACAGGACCCCAGCTACCTACAACCCAAACAGAGCAACACCCAGGCATATAATAATAAAAATTCCAGAAATTCAATACAAGAACAGAATATTAAAAGCTGTAAGAGACAAGAAACAGACCATTTACAAGGGAACACCCATCAGAATTACAGCAGATTTCTCTGCACAAACCATCAAATCACGAAGAGCGTGGGGGGAAATAATTCAAGCATTGAAAGATAATAATCTCCAGCCAAGATTGAGATATCCTGCACAACTGTCCCTGGAAATTGATGGAAAAACAAGGTGCTTCCAGGATAAAGAGGAACTGGGGGAATTTGCAACCACCAATTCAACTCTACAGAAAGTATTGCAGGATATTCTAAAAAAAGAAAAATACAAAGAACCCAGAAATAGTGGTGGGGAGGCCACAACAAATGGAGCAGAGAACAAAATGAAGAAGACAAACTGACAGCTACTGACAGAAAAAGAGCTTAACAGAAATGAGGCAGAGAAGATTGGATGATAGGAACAGCTATTTTGGAGAAAATGACATCTTAATAGGTAATACTGATTTAGTATCATCTTGTTTTGAAGTCTCATCTAGCTTTTGTCCTTCTGTCTCCAATGGTCTAAATAGGCTGTATCTTATTGGATTTTATTATGTACGATAGTATAAGCAAAAACCTTTTAAAGACAAGGAGATTATACAGAAACCATTGTTCATTTTCTGTTAGTCGATTCTAAATACTCTGTAATGCTGTCATTCTCTTGAATGGTTTTACATTGTTTTGATATACTTAATGCTACAGTATACGAAGTTGTACTCAAGGATTTCAAAGAAAGAAACAATATGGTAACTACTTTTAGGTTAGGATTATCTGGTGGTGAAACACTATTCTGCTTAAATGGTTATGTTTTGATCTGCGCTGTTTCGTTGTTATGCCCTCTTTTATCTCAATCTCCACTCCATTATTTACTTTTTTATCTTTATCCTTTTAATTAAAGGAAAAAAATAGCAGGATATATTATAGTAACCCATTTTGACTTTTCATTACCTTGATTTAAAGCCCTGTATTACTCTCACCATTTGGTTTTTAACTGATGTTCCCCTATTCTGTTTTGCTGGATAGTATCAGGTTCGAAAGTTTAGGCATCAGCTGTGAAGATAATGAGATTCATTATGACGCCCATTCTTGTTGACTTTTATCTACTTTTGAAGACCTACAATGTCTCCAATGTTTTGGTTTTGTCGGTTTTATTCTTTACTGTTTTGTTCAATTGTATTATAACTAATGATATAGGCAATTCTATTAGAGATAGCGGGAGACATTATGGTAACCATTGTTGATCACCTGTATTATGTTTTTATATTATCTATTATGTCCACCCTTTTGACTTGACCGATTCTGTTCTGTTATGTCACATTTGGTTTTACTCTCTTCCAAAAAAGTAATAAGAACCGTGGGAGCAATGAAACCCAAAATGTGTAATAGTCATGGTACAAAAGAGAGGAAAAGAAAGTACTCTAAACTATATAACTGCATGTATATTTAAGTGTATAAGATAGAAAATGATATCACAGAGTTTTATTGGATCAATGAACAGAACTGTTTGCAGTATCATTGATGGAATGTCCACTTTACAAGCTTTAATTTTGTGACTTGAACAATTATTTCTAAGATGACAATATGTAATCCATTAACTAGTGATTTCCTACTGTTCATTTTTTTTCTGTAAATCTGTATAACTTGTACCCTTTCCCTGCTTTTTTTTCTTTTCTCCTTAAATAAAATTAAAAAAAAAAAAGATTATGTAATCTGAAATGATCAGATATAAAGATACAAAGGTAGTAGAAAACAATTTTCTTGATGCCTATCTTTGAAGTGTAGAGATTTTAGGAACTTGGATCTACCTAGGTGGGTAGTTTATACCTGCAATTTCTGATGGCTGAATCGCTTGGGAAGAAAGACGTCACATCTGAAAACAAATCCCAGGGAATCCAGGAAGCCTGTCTCATGTGCTATCTTGCAAGATTTTGAGGCTCAACTGCCACTGTCATAACTCTACAAATCCCCTTTGTTTTCACCTCGGTTAGAAATGTACAGATTTGTTGTGCAGCAGAATAGAAAAACTCTAGAAAATCAAGGGAAAATACTTTTTTATTTTTGGGTTTTAAGATCACAGAATCAACAGAAATTGATTGTCTTCTAGTCTACATTTATTATTCTTAACTTTTAGATTTAAAGTGAGGCTTGTCTGGAGGAGAGAGAGTGCAGAGCTTGCTTTCTCATTTCTCTCACAGGATGAGACTTTATTCAACTACTTTAGAGAAGATTTATAGATGACTATAAAATAATAGATTTTTAAAATAAATTTTTATATATACACTATTTCATTTTACCTCACAGCAAGGATGCAGAAACAGTATTACCATTATTTTATGAATTGGTAAGGCTAGGCTGAGATAGATTGCATAACTTGTCCAAAGAGTGTTCAGAAATTACAGGATGAGGCTTTGTAGAAGTGGAGTGGCTTCTCTGTTCCTGTGCAGGGACAAGAGCCAGTGCAGTGAGATAAATCAGGTGAGTGTGGTCCTACTTGGACCCACAGGTAAGTGTGGTCTGGTAATGAGCTTTGTAGGAGAGATAGAGACATGAAGGATGTTACTG